TATGTTCCAGGTGGCTCCATCGCCGGCATGCTCAAGCAATACAACACTTTCCAGGAACCACTCGTCCGGAACTTCACCAGACAAATTCTCGAGGGTCTGTCATACTTGCACTCTCGCAATATCATTCATCGAGACATCAAGGGCGCCAATATTCTGGTCGACAACCGCGGTGCCGTGAAAATCTCCGATTTTGGTGTTTCCAAGAAAACCAACTTCAATGGTATGAACACTGCACCGGGCACCCGCACATCTCTTCAAGGAAGCGTCTTCTGGATGGCTCCCGAAGTTGTCCGCCAGTCTGGACAGTCGCTCAAGTCAGATATCTGGTCAGTTGGGTGTCTTGTTGTTGAGATGTTCACAGGATCCCGGCCATTCCCATCAATGACGACGCTTCAAACGCTGTTTGCTGTCGGAAGCAATAACGAGAAACCAAGTATTCCCGAGCATGCAAGTGAGGACGCGAAGCGGTTTATGGGGAAGACCTTTGAGGTTGACCATGAAAAGAGGCCTGGCGCAGATGAGTTGTTGAAAGAGAGGTTTTTGCTGCCTACGGCTTGAGGTCCAATTTGATGCAGGGGCTGAACGATTCTCATCTGTGTAATATGAAAGCGTGATGAATGTCAGGAGCATCTTGTGGCAGAACATGATGATCTGAGATGGGAAGAGGAACCGCAGCAGTCTCTAAACGAATCAGCCACATCAAATGGTTTCCGATGAGCAGAACTATATAGTTGCCAAGGGTCAAGGGCATAGGTTTCTTTGTTCTCGCATGTGTTATCTATGTGCGTTGGGTCACGCCTGGGACGACCTGGTTGTTTGTGTATATCACCCGCTTGATTGATGGAAGGATGGGGACATCCATAGCTTAGCGAAAGGTGTTGAAAGCTAGCCCTTGTGAAAGATGTATCAGACATAAGAAAGAGACTACAGAATCACGGCACCAACAGGGACGCCTTCGATCTGATAAGTGCTCTTGCGCTCTTCTCGGTGATCTGGCGTACGCATATATATGTTCGTGAAGTGCCACGAGTGCCCCCGTGTGGACTGGTTTCTGGTCTACCGAGTGAGCGAGACAGATATGATCAGAGAAACGGAGACCAGCGAGAGAACATTGAAGAAATCGATAAATAGGTAGAAAACTAAAAAGTCTCCCAAGTCATGTCATGACAGTGCTTCGAGGGGTTAAATGTCCTTCCTTTGCCGCGTCTGGCCCTGATTCAAACAAGGGAGAACTGGTCCTAACTTTTCGCAAAGCATCTTCGGTAGGCATCCGAGGGCGCACGACCTCTCTTATATGTTTCTCGATATCCCCTCGAACCTGTTCACATCTTCTTTGCTAAGATATATCCATGGGCTGAATGGGGATATGAACCACCGGAGGCGGTCGAGGAGCGTCATGTGCCGTCATCTTCACGCCGTTCATCAGATTTGGCTGGCCTCCATCAGTCCCGTTATTTCTTGGGGCAACATTGATCGTGTCCATCGTTTCTCCTAGGGGTTGCAGTGGTCTCGGCGTGGCCTGCACTTGCTGCAAGCCATTCATAACAGCTGATGTTCCGTTCGTTACATGGGGAGCTTGAGGAGGTGGACCTTGTGCCGTTGTTGTGGACGTGGGGTTCTCGGCGTCCTTTCGATATCGTAGTTGGACAACCAAGCTTTCCTGAGTGTTTTCATCGTCGACCTCGTCCGGTTCAAGGCCCTCATCACTCATATCATCGTCGTCATCGTCGCCGTCATCCTCTCCGTCAAAGTCCGGCTCTGACTCGTCCTCGTTTCCACTCCATTCTTTGCCTGATGACTGGGCCTCTTCGCTTTCGTCCGAGTCCATCTGCTCGGCATAGCCCTGTCTGGTCGGTTTGACGTGTCTTCCCGACCTCGATGTTCTCATGTCACGCGCACTGGGTACAGTGGCGGGCATGTCCTCACTTGTCTCTGTATAGTTGCCTTCGCCCGTCACTCTCTCTAACTCCTTGCGCTGGTCGATCAACATGCTCTCGCCGTACAAACCACCCACCCTCGACTTGACATGTCTGCCGCTGGCGGTAACGGTCGGTCCAGTCTCCAGAGGTGTAGAGAGGCCGGAATTGCGCGTGGATCGCTTGCTAGACAGCCCGTCCGACCCATACTCGTCGTCTGAATATGTATATCTCATTCTCTTCCCACGTGTCCTTCCCTCATATAGTGAGAATCCGGGTTCGGGTCGAGCGAATGCAGCTTTTCGAGCAAGGCGGTAGTCGCGGCGTTTGCGCTTCTAGTGTGATTGTCAGTGCATGTCCGGTATGCGCGTCAACCTGCTTACCTCTTCGCCAGCCTCAAACCTCGGAATAGCCGCGCGTAACTTGTCGCTAATCACTTTCGAATTGGAACTATGTTCGTCGGCGAACTTGTCTGCAAGGGCTATGACTTCTGGGATGGAGCCGGCGACGCTGAACCATGTGTTTGTCTTTGCAGTCTTGCCATCATTTTCTCTGTAGATCCGAAAATGCGAGTCATCTTGTCCCTCAATCAGCCAGTACTTTCGGCGATATTGGTCTGAAAACCAAGGTTGAACACTTCGCGGTTGGTTGCGGTCGTCGTCCCGACGTGTCTGCTTGTAAGACTCTTTAATGACCGCTGAGACGGCTTCGGAGGAGTTCAGAGACCAGAGGACGAGAGCTTTTAGGAGGCTCAACTAAATCCTAGTTAGCTGTGCGGAACAGAGAAGGGAAGACAGAAAGCAACCCACCCGCTGCTCCGGGCTCATGCTGTTGAAAGTTGTTCCTCCGTGGAGAGGATTGACCCCCTTCCACTCGGTCGGCCATTGACTGTGGTTTGTAGAGAGCGCATCTTCAAGTGCCCGGCCATAATGTCCGCGTCTGACCAGTGTTAGAAATTTTGACAGGTGATAGCCCACGAGCTCGTCCAGTATGCGGTAACTGACTCGACATCCTTTTTTCTATTCAGAACAAGACCCAACAGCGCACAGAGCAGTCTCTCGACTTGCTCGTCGGGTAGTTCTCCAGCCACCCCTCTTTCAATGTCTTGCGGTCCGTAGTTCGGTAAAGATTTGGGAAACACGTCGCTGAATCGACTTCTGAACATTACGATAAACGCAATTGCCGGGTTATCGACCAGCGTATATTCGTGGGGTGGTGAGGGTGCGCGTTTGGAAGGCTCGGGGGTGGCTTCAGGCTTGGGCGCCGGCTTGAAATATCGATCCAATCCCGTTGGCTTCAGCGCCATTTTCTGTGCCATTTCCTCATCATCCGAGGATGGAGCGGAAGACAAGGACGAGGAATCAGAGTCAGCCATGACTAGATGGAGAGGAGATTGCGGACGGCAAGAGTGGTGAGACAGCTAGCCGGTACTACAGCAGGCGGTTGTCGTAGCAGGAGCACGGAGGGTGGAAGTGAAGGGGGAACTACAAAATCAGGGAGCGGTCTGATGAATTCACTTGGCGCGTTGAGGGCAAGTTACGCGCTGCTCGGCCAATGATCGCATTTCATCTGTCTCCCGGCGCTGGCAGTCAACGACGTCGCTTTCATAGCCTTTGAGGCGACAGGCTCCCATGCTAACGATTCTCTGGAATCCGAAGCACCAGCCGGCATCCAATTATTCGCCATCCACCACAGGCAACGGGTTGTTGGAGGGTTGGTGCGACCGATCTCCATGAACATGAGTGGTTTTGGGGACGCCGGCTTGCCAAGCGTTGAATCAGCCTCTTGTCGAGTTCAACTTGCGTTGCAGCGATCCCGGGTTCAGCCCCCGCATCTTCCCAGACGCTGAGCCTGGGGGCATTCTCAACAGCATCCTCGGCCGGGGACCTGCTTGCCGGTACACCGTTGTATTCATTCCCCTCGAGCACTGTTGTCCGACGCTGTCCTTTGCTTCAAATCCTGGTTGAGGCTAAACATTCTCCGAGAAGACGCGGGGTTCTCCGGGAGATCCATGGCAATTGCGCTCTGAAGAACGCGCCCAAATTTTGTACCATGATTTTCTTGCTGAAGACTCAAATGAAGGTGTATGTCAAAAACATTGAGACGGCACAGGGCCTAGAAGCAGCCGACAGTGATCAGAAGCTCCGGCATGCCATATTGACAGGGCTCGTCACAGTTGAAATCTTGTAGATTTGTGGCTGAGCTTATACATGTAGCTGAGTTCGACCGTGTGCTTCTGATTCGATCTGCACCGTCTGCACCGGAAGAGTATCAAGAGGCCACTGAGGGCAGCAAGCTCGGGGATCAGCATTTTTGAGTGTCTCATTTTAGAGCGACCTCGTAGTTCGTTATGCTTCACCGACTCAGCACTTGTATGCAATAAATGGATGTGCATAGATAACGTGCAAGAGGAGAGTCGCTTTGGTCCAACATGCTCTTGATCAGCCCGCCCTCCGCCACTGTGTTGTAGGGTAGAGCGGGAGCCTACTAGGTCAATTTTCTAAGCTTGGAAGAACTTACCACGTTTCACAACTCTCCTGTGAGACAATGTGCCGCCATGCCGTTCAGAACAACTTCATGATATGTACAAAAAGCTTCTCTAGGCGATGAAAAAGACATGTAAACTTGATCTTGTCACGCGAATGTTGTAACAGAGCCAATTCTAGAGAATGGAAGAATGGATAATGATATAAAGTAGAGCATCTGTGTATTCTGAAAGCCACCGTGTAACAGCAGCTAGTGCAGGCGGAGAGAATCAAGCCAACACAGGGCAGAGGTGAGATGACTTTGAAGTTGGCAGTTGCAGACCGGACTTCAGGTTTGAAGATGGGAGGTGAGGCGGGCTGGGCGGGAGCCAAGTAATCACGTGATGACACAGCACACCACTTGTATATCAACTAGTCCATAATAGCTAGCCTGGTATCTGCGTCATGAAAGGTCTTTTGCGTCGCCGTACTTTGTTCTTTTCCAATGCCAAGATTTTTGCTCAGGCGCACACAAACGAAACCTGCGCCTTGTCCATCTTCACCTCGAACTTTCAACAACCTCGTTCGGTCGACAACTACCTCGAAACTCTACGCCATCATGGGTAGAGTCATCAGGAACCAGCGTAAAGGGCGCGGATCCATCTTCAGTCAGTACCTCCTCATTCAGCAGCACCCCGACTATGTTCTCTGCTCTGCGATCACAAATTCTGCTCAATTGGTGCTGGTTCGTTTTGCTGATGTCTCGCAATAGCCAGTCATACCAGGTTGAGAAAGGGAGCTGCTAAGTTCCGACAACTCGATTACTCGGAGCGTCATGGGTACATTCGTGGGGTGGTGACTGAAATCATTCATGATCCTGGTCGAGGTGCACCGCTCGCGCGTGTGCAGTTCCGTTCGCCCTACAAATATGGCCTCAAGACCGAAACCTTTATTGCGAATGAAGGACTCTTTACTGGCCGTACGTGTTCGCTACACCGCTATCTTGGTCTTGAAACTCACAAATTGGTTCACTGGCTGACTGCTTGGATTTATCAGAGTTTATCTACGCTGGAAAGAACGCTGCCTTGAGCATCGGCAACATCCTCCCTCTGGGCGCTGTGCCCGAAGGTACCGTCGTCTCAAATGTGGAAGAGAAGACCGGAGACCGAGGCGCGTTGGGACGAACTTCAGGCAACTATGTGACTGTGATTGGACACAACCCTGATGAGGGCAAGACCAGAGTCAAGCTCCCCAGTGGCGCAAAGAAAGTCGTTCTCAGTTCGGCTCGAGGGATGATCGGCATCGTCGCTGGTGGTGGACGTACCGATAAGCCCATGCTCAGTATGTGCATTGCCATCACTTGTATGACATTGGAATGGGGCTAACTAGCGGACACAGAGGCTTCCCGCGCAAAGCACAAGTTCGCCGTCAAGCGCAACTCCTGGCCCAAGACTCGTGGTGTTGCCATGAATCCCGTCGACCATCCTCACGGTGGTGGTAACCATCAGCACATCGGCAAGGCTTCTACCATTTCAAGATACGCCGCTCAAGGTCAAAAAGCCGGTCTTATCGCTGCCCGGAGGACAGGTTTGCTACGTGGTACGCAGAAGACCAAGGAGTAGATGTGATGTTTGTATGAGGGGCTTCCAGAAAACGGCGTGGACTGTGTTACGGGTCTTTTACGGCATATGCGTCACCAACTCACAACATGGAGAGTGGCAAGGGGTCCAAAGCTCTTCCCAATAACCGAAAGAATGCCAACAGATGCATTGTCTTTGAGAAGGTGCCAGTTGACTCTAGATAGCCTGGAGGTTGCGGTCACCGTAGCCGCAATGCAGATCGAGTTGAGACGACGAGAAGATTTCTGCGTGGTGCAAGCAAGGGAGATTACTATCACTCGAGAACCTACCTGTGACCGAAACTGAGTATTTGATGAAGTCGATCAGCCCCTTTTTTCCACTTGTTGTAAAATTCCTGAGCTGTAAACCGCGGATCTTGTAGCGTGTTGATACTGCAAATTTCCCCCCCTTTCTATTGGAAAACAATGTTACGAGAGCATTCATCTGCAGCTCAGACGCCATGCTTACTGTGTACAAGTACAAGACGGCCGTACGAGTAGTTGTATGTGTGGGATGCTTACGGGTTCGGCAGCGACGAAGGTCCGGGGACCTCCTCGTGGCGGGTAGGGTTACGAGGGATGATGTGAATTATGCCGCAGTTGTGCCCAGTCTAAGATCGAACACGGCGTCTCTTGTTCTTCTTCTCTGCGCCATTTTACAGGCAGTGTGGACACTAGACACAGACTGTTAGCTGCTAATACTCGTATTTTACAAGTAATATGGGCCAAGCGATGATTTCAGTTGGTGGCGTATTGTTTCAGAAGCTGGTGGAGGGACATGACCTGTCGCTGGGCACCACCCGGCACCGCTGGGAGCTTCTGGTGAATCCCCCGCAGAAGAGTTTGAGGTCAGGGGCAGCAGTTGGGAACCTGTGGCTCTGGGCTGCTCTGGCTTTCGTAACTTGCTTCTGGCTCTCGTGGTGGACCTTGAAGGGGCTCCGAAACTCTATCAGAAAGAACGCCTGTTTGCGCGTCGCTGCAACCGCAGCTTGTCATTAATTGGCATTGGCACCGAGACGAGCAACTGCGCGACGGGATTTAATTCATCATCTAGCAGCTCTCGTCCGTTGGGCCTGATTCCTATTCCATCGCTGTAAGCGCAGTCAATCGTTTATTATCCCTCTATATTCTGACCTCATTCACGCCGCTCGCCGGAGTTTTTGTCTCTTTTTCCTTGCTCATCTTCCGGACAGTATTTGATCCTTGATCAGCATTCCAATTGCACGACTAGAAACACCGCGCTGTCCGATCCCGATCCCTCCGTTGCTCACCACCTGCACAGACAGCGTAACATAGATCCCTTGCTCTTATCGACCCCAACATCAGCATTCTCACTCTCGCTCTTCTAACCTTGCCTCGCTCTTCTAACCTTGCCTCGCTCTTCTAACCTTGCCTCGCTCCCTTGAACACCGCCAACCAGTACAGTGATCGCACATTTGCAATCATGAATGTCAACAAGAAACTCGATCGTTTCAAACAATGGGCAGGAGAGCGGATGGGTGGGGAAGTCAAGACCAATGTGTCCGACGACTTCAAGGCCATGGAGGTCGAGATGGGCCTTCGTCAAGAGGGTATGTAGCATAATCTTGCCCAGCAATTGAAAGCGAGGCGGGCGCTAACCGTTACGCTCCGCAGGTCTCGAGAAAATGCAGCGGTCAATGAATGCCTATATCAAAGCCATCTCCAAACGGTCCGAGGTGGAGGGTAAAGAGAAAACACTTCCGATCGCCTACATGGGCGGGACCATGATTTCTCATGGCGAAGACTTTGAGTCGGATTCAGAATATGGACAGTGTCTCAACAGTGGGTGTACCCATGTTACAAGAATATTCCTATATGCTGACATTCTAAGTGTTTGGCCGAACACAAGAACGATTGGCTCGCACGCAGGAAACCTACATCACGAACGCTACCACTTCCTGGCTGGAGTCGCTCGAAAGGTCTCTGGTCCAACTGAAAGAATACCAGGCCGCCCGCAAACGACTTGAGACACGCAGACTGGCTTATGATACATCGCTTGCCAAAATGCAGAAGGCCAAGAAGGAAGACTTCCGCGTTGAGGAGGAACTGCGAACTCAGAAGGCTAAATATGAAGAATCGGCGGACGATGTTCAGCGCAGAATGGAAGAAATTCGCGAATCAGACCCTGAGAGCGTGGCTGATCTCGCAGCATTTCTTGACGCCGAATTGGCATATCATGATCAATGTAGAGAAGCACTGTTGCAACTAAAGAGCCAGTGGCCCGCTAGGTACGTATTTCCTCCTTCAAACCTGAGGTTGGATCTAACTTGGCGCAGAGCACAGATGTCGAATCGAAGTATCCGTCCCAATCCGCGATCAAGATCAAACACTGTCCGGTCATACACCCAGACTGTTGAGCCAGCAGAGGAAACACCAACCGTCGTGGAGGTTCGCCCGACCATCAAGTCGAACCGGAGTGGCCGTTTTGCGGACCAACCAACTTCTGAATACTCTCCAGCGCGCCCAAATTACGCCAGAGCCACTACATTCAACGACTCCCCCACAGCTAGGGACCTGTCGCCTGCTACAAGGCCTGGGATTGCGCGAGTTCCCAGCGATTCTTTGATGATTCGGACAGCCCGATCGCAGCTACGAAGCGTGGATGAACAGGATGTCTTTGCAGATGAGTCCGGGTCTTACACAAACAGTGGCTCCGACCGCGGCTACGGAGAACAATCCGTATCTCCTGCGACTTCACATGGCAGTGAATCAGTGACCCTCCTGGGTGGAAAAAAGAGTGCTGTACCGCCTCCCCCTCCTCCATCACGCTCGAAAAAACCACCTCCTCCACCTGTACCAGCAAAGAGAACTATTCTCACTTGAACTATCGTTGTGCAAAGGCAATCACAAAGGCCTTTTGGATTTGTTAGACGGGAGTTTGGCGCTGGTTTAGGGGGCTAAGGCGGGACTCCTTTGTGAAGCGAGAGACTACTAGAACCAGATCAATTGAAAATGCATTGAAGCGGCGCTGTATGGCATATACACTGACTGAATTTGCGAGCATATCAATCATGACAATTCTCTCCTTGATACCACACTGAGACTCTGCGCCTTTCACAAATGTTCCTAAAATGAGTGGAGCACCCATTGACCCTTGCCACCTGAAAAAGTTCCCCCCTATGCTATCACGTGATTGAATGTCACGTGAATTATCGAGCGACCTAAGATTTGCCGCATGCTTGGCAAACTACTGCTCGCAGAACCTCGTTTGGGGGTCACATCTGTTCTCCGTTGCGCTCCCCCCAAGACGTGAAAGGCCCCTCGGCCGGGAAAATCATCAATCAACGCGTCGCATCCATCTCTTTTCATCTCAACTGAACTCTGGCAACTCGCAGCATCGCTTGAGGAGTGCGCCCAAACCCGGTTGCCGACTCTTCGTCCCCTCTTTAATCAGGCATCCTCACCTCAACCGCCCAACCTCGCCTCACCTAGGACTGGTACAACAACAAGTCCCTACCATCTGCCATCTGCGCCACGTTCATCCCCCTTCGCGAGGCTGCGCCAGTCCTGTGCCCTCCTAGAACACCGACAGCAACAGCACTGATCTTGATTAGATGCTCAGATAAGCCTTTACGACGTCCGCCTTGAGCTGCAGCTGCCTAGCGTTGCAGTATTCCTGGCCCGACTGAGAAGTCACCATGACTTCTGTTCAGTCCGCACCTGCGATGCAGGCCAATGTTCCCTCGCTCCCACCCAACCTCTCCCAAGCCCAAGTGCAGGAAGTTTATCAAGTATGTAACCTTTGCATATCACGCCTTTGGAGCCCTCAAATAACCCTTTTCCCGCAATCGACTGCTAACATCAGCAATAGAAATTCCAGCGCATGAAAGCCCAAAATGTCCCCGAAACCGACCCCGAGTACCTAAAGGCATATCGGTTTCTCACTGCCGTCCAGCAGCAGCAGAACTTCCGAAAACTACAGGCTCAAAAGCAAGCACAACTCCAGGCTCAACAACTGCAGGCTGCCCAAAAAGCCCAACACCAGCCACAAGCGCAATTGGGTCAACATTCTGGACTACAGGCTAATGGCAGTGCTAACCCTCCAGCAACAAATGGAAGTAGCAATGGTCAACAAGATCCAGCAGGTCCGGTGGTCAACGGGGCAACTTCTTCCACGCCGAGCTCAACCTCCGGACCCAACTCAGTACAAGCTGGAGCACAGGCACAACGTGTTCCTGCTCAGGCGAACGGCAGCTTCACGGCAGAACAGCTGAATCTATTGAGAACCCAGATTTTCGCATTCAAGACTCTGTCCAAGAATCAGCCTTTACACCCCAGGATACAGCAGCAACTATTCCCATCCCTCAAACAGCAAGCTGCCACGCCTACGGAGAGTATTCCCCCCGGGGATAAGGTCGCGGAGGGTACTGTCGAAGTGAAGGAGGACGGTGGTTCGACCGAAATTGCTCGAGCCAAATCGTTCTTCGACACCTATCAGTCGCCTTACGAAATTCTCTTGAAGGCGATCAGCTTCTCAGACCATTCACAACGTCCCAAGCGCCAGAAAATCCCAAGCATAATGCCTATTGGCCTTGACACTGATCAAGTGCGAGAGGAGCAAGAACGGTTACTGTACAACCGCATCCAAGCTCGAAAGTCTGAATTGGCAGCACTGCCTGTCAACATCGCGTCTTGGGATACCAGTAAATCCCTTGAACCCACTGCCGACGACTCTCTCAAGCTTAAAGCGTTAATCGAGTACAAGAAGTTATGTTTGCTTCAGAAGCAACGAGATTTTCGCCGCGAAATTCAGCAAGAGCTTTTCTACTACGATAACCTAGCAATGACAGCGAATCGATCAATGCATCGCCGGATGAAGAAGCAATCACTTCGCGAAGCTCGCATCACCGAGAAACTCGAGAAACAGCAACGCGATGCCAGAGAGAACAAGGAGAAGACTCGGCAAACAAACCATCTGCAGTCCATTGTCGCGCACGCCCAGGATGTCAAGAGCAATGCCATCAGTCAACGCTCGCGTATTCAGAAGCTTGGCCGGATGATGGTCACTCATCACCAACATATGGAGCGTGAAGAACAGAAGCGAATCGAACGGACTGCAAAGCAACGTTTGCAGGCACTGAAGGCAAACGATGAAGAGACATACCTGAAGCTTCTTGGTCAGGCGAAAGATTCTCGCATTACACATCTTCTCAAGCAGACCGACGGTTTCCTGAAACAGCTTGCTGCCTCTGTCAGACAACAGCAACGGAGCGCAGCAGAGAAATGGGGCGAAGACAAGTACACGGACGAGGAGGATGAAGAAGAGGGTGACTCAGAAGACGAAGGCCGTGGTAAAGTGGATTACTATGCCGTTGCCCATCGAATCAAGGAAGAAGTCAACGTCCAACCCTCAATCCTGGTGGGAGGTACTTTGAAAGAGTACCAGCTCAAAGGTCTTCAGTGGATGATTTCACTGTTCAACAACAACCTGAACGGTATCTTGGCCGACGAGATGGGTCTGGGAAAGACCATCCAGACCATCAGTTTGATCACCTATCTGATCGAGAAAAAGCGCCAGTTAGGTCCGTTCTTGGTCATTGTTCCCCTCAGCACACTCACCAATTGGAATCTGGAGTTTGAGAAGTGGGCACCCTCTGTCAGTCGCATCGTTTACAAGGGCCCGCCAAATAGCAGGAAGCAGCAGCAGATGAGGATCCGACAGGGTAATTTTCAAGTCCTCCTCACGACATACGAATATATCATCAAAGACCGCCCCATTTTGAGTAAGATCAAATGGGTACACATGATCGTTGATGAAGGTCATCGCATGAAGAATGCCCAGTCAAAATTAAGCAGTACCATCACTCAGTATTACACCACGAGATATCGGTTGATCTTGACCGGTACTCCCCTACAAAACAACCTGCCTGAACTGTGGGCGCTTCTCAACTTCGTGCTGCCTACAATCTTCAAATCAGTCAAATCCTTTGACGAGTGGTTCAATACTCCTTTTGCCAACACTGGTGGACAAGACAAGATGGAGTTGAGCGAGGAAGAGCAGCTCCTGATTATTCGTCGTCTGCATAAGGTTCTGCGGCCTTTCCTGCTCCGTCGTCTCAAGAAAGACGTGGAGAAGGATCTTCCTGACAAGCAAGAGCGGGTCGTCAAATGTCGCTTCTCAGCACTCCAGACCAAGCTTTATATGCAATTGATGACGCACAACCGCCTGGCTGTGGCTGACGGCAAAGGTGGCAAGACCAGCATGCGCGGTCTCAGCAACATGTTGATGCAGCTGAGAAAACTGTGTAATCACCCTTATGTCTTTGAGCCTGTGGAAGACCAAATGAATCCTGGCAGGGGAACGAATGACTCGATCTGGAGAACAGCTGGTAAATTTGAGCTTCTCGACAGAGTCCTGCCCAAGTTCCGTGCTACTGGTCATCGTGTGTTGATGTTTTTCCAGATGACTCAGATCATGAACATCATGGAGGACTTCTTGCGGTACCGTGGCATACAATATCTTCGACTTGACGGCGCCACCAAGGCTGAAGATCGATCTGAGCTATTGCGGGTTTTCAACGAGCCTGGATCACCATACTTCTGCTTTCTGCTTTCAACCCGAGCAGGTGGCTTAGGTTTGAATCTTCAAACAGCAGATACTGTCATTATCTACGATTCAGATTGGAACCCTCACCAGGACTTACAAGCTCAGGACCGTGCTCACCGTATCGGACAGAAGAACGAAGTGCGCATTCTCCGACTCATCAGCTCCAATTCGGTGGAGGAGAAGATTCTGGAGCGAGCTCAATTCAAGCTTGACATGGACGGCAAGGTCATTCAGGCGGGTAAATTTGACAACAAATCCACCAACGAGGAGCGGGAGGCTTTCCTAAAGACTTTGCTCGAGGCCGCCGAAGCGGCCGAACAAGTTGGGGATTCAGAGGAGATGGACGACGATGACCTGAATGAGATTATGGCTCGTACAGAGGATGAACTGGTCTTGTTCAAGAAGATGGATAAGGAGCGTGAAGAGACCGATCAGTATGGACCCGGCCGACCGCTTGCACGCTTGATGGAAGAAAGTGAGCTTCCCGACATCTACGTGGCTGAAGACAATCCGGTTCAAGAAGAGACAGAGGAATATACTGGTCGCGGCGCCCGTGTCAAAACTCAGGTCAAATATGACGACGGTCTCACCGAAGAACAATGGCTTGCCGCTGTTGACGATTCGGACGATTCGATTGGTGAGGCAGCCAAACGCAAACAGGCCCGAATTGAAAAGAGACGGACCAACAAGCTCAAACGTGAGCGAGAAGCCGCTGGCGTCACCTCGTCGCCTGAACCGGAACAAGAGAGTTCTGAGGAGGAGCCGCCCCCAAAGAAAAAAGGCCCTGGACGGAAATCGGCGGGGCAGAAGAGGAAGGCCGAGGAGATTGAGGATGAAATACCAGCGACGAAACGCAAGAGGGGAAAGCAACCCAACAAAGCGGCCATCGACACGTTGACTAGTTCGGAGCGATCCGCCCTACAGAAAGCTCTCAAGGCTGTGTTTGCGTCTATCAAGGCTCTTGAGGTGCCAGACTCGGATTCAGAACAACAGTCGGAAGACGAGAGCGATGACGAACCCCCCACAAGATTGATCATCGGACCGTTCCTGGAGCTGCCGCCGAAGAAAGTGTACCCGGATTATTACAATTACATCACGGAACCCATTGCCATGGACATGATTGAGAAACGGATCAACAGTCACCAATATACCAGCCTCAGAGATTTCCAAAACGACATAGCGCTCCTGGCAAAGAACGCAAAGACGTACAATGAGGACGGGAGCATGCTGTACAACGATGCAATTGCTATCGAGGTAAGGGTTGCATCACCTTTTTCAATTGGAATTTGTTACTAACAATCTGTGATAGAACCACTGCAATGAGATGGTAGCCAAGCAAATTGCAGACAATCCCATCCTTGGGGATAGGGGCCTTGACGGCGACTCGACAGCCCCAGGTTCGAGCGCCGGGACACCCCGAGGATCTGTGGCACCAGCTGGCGGGACAAAGTTGAGATTGACATTGGGTTCTGGCAGTAATGGAGTCGCAACGAACGGCACCACAAGCGGGGCAGCCAGCGGAGCAGAATGATAGATGGATGTCTTATTGTACCATAATGAGATCAACTGAAGACGAGAAAAGAGGTCATGGGGGTTCGGATGATTTCAGGGCTTGCATCCGAGGAAGGGGAAGTGGCAGGATAATCCAGTCTATGGTTTGAAACAGCAGGGAGGGCATTGGATGGTCATGAATTTGCATGGCTTGGGAATAGTTTTGGAGGGAGAGGCATTCGTTTACTCTAGAGATTCGATTCTGGGGTGCTCCGTATAGCTGTGAGATTACTACTCTTGCTTGTACAATGAGATCTTTAAGCTGTCTTTTCTGTTATACCGCCTCGAGTACGAGGTACCTCGTATGCGTCAGGGAATCACAGGAAGTCGTTTAGGGAGGCGTTCAGGGAGGGCGTTCAGGGAGGCGTCGTGGGGTGCAAAAAAGGGGGAAATCGTCGTCCCCAAAGAGACGGCTGAATGAACAGGTGGACATCCCGCCAATGATAGAGTGGGAGAAGCGAGTGGGAACCACGAGTACATATCGATTGCAGGCAGGAAGAGGAAGTCGATCCAAAGTCTCTCTGTCTTCCTGCAACTCGATCCAGAGTAAAGAGGGTACACGACTCCAACTCCGACAACGCCAAACTACCTTTGGTACTCAACATCTCGCACCCACCTACGCTGCGTTCCCAACCACATCCTCACGCAGGCTGCGCAGGCTGCGCTTCTCATCTCTTTGTAATATTCTCGTCCATTCTTGATCTGTTGTCATCGCACCTCCTACCGCTCATCCTCGTCCTCCCGACTGCGCTCTCTCGCGAATGATACCTAGTTCGATCTCTGCGCCAACATGGCGTCAACCCTCGTGGGCGCGACGTTGAATATTCTCCGTAACGCAAACCTGACCTTCTCCACGAGACCATCACACTGACTCTCGCGACACAGGCCGCCAGGTTGAAGACGTCGATCCAGACGGTACGCTGTCACGCGCCATATTGCCCACGATGCGCTTCCGATTCATTCGCTAATTGATCCTCGAGACAGACCCTCCCGAAGCTGGCCAGAAAGAGATCTTCTCATCATGGGCCCTCTTTATTCTGATCATGCTGCTGATTGCAGCGCTGTTTACGAGTTACATCCTACAGCAGAAGAGAATACAAGCTGTCCATGAGACCGTCATATCTATATTTGCTGGTACTCGTCAATTGCTGGATACAACCGTACGCCGCTAACTGCGGTATTCAGGCATGGTCGTGGGACTGGTCATACGCATCACACCTGGCACTGCGATACAAGACACTGTCAGTTTCGACTACCAATTCTTCTTCAACCTCCTTCTGCCGCCCATCATTCTCGCCTCCGGTTACGAATTACATCAGGTAAGGAAGGGGGTTTCTGGCAAAGAGACTGGATCTGCTCCCACACCGGATATCAACTAATGGAGCATAGGCAAACTTCTTCCGCAATATTGGCACGATCCTGACCTTTGCATTCGCTGGGACCTTTATCTCCGCCGTGTCCTTGGGCCTGATACTTTGGCTGTGGACGCGAATCCCTTTTGACGGCCTGACCATCACCTGGGTCGAGGCCATCTCGGTCGGCGCAACCCTGTCCGCTACCGATCCTGTCACTATCCTCGCCATCTTCAACTTATACAAGGTCGAACCGAAACTGTACACGGTCATCTTTGGCGAGTCCATACTCAACGATGCCATTGCCATCGTCTTATTCGAGACTGCCCAGCGATACAGGGAAGGGGCTTCCGGGAACTTGAACATTATTAGCCTGTTCGAGGCTATCGGCATCTTCTTACTTGTCTTCTTTACGAGCTTGGTGATTGGGGTGGTGGTGGGCATCGGAACAGCACTCGCTTTGAAGTATACGCTCGTCCGCAGATTCCCAAAGATTGAGAGCTGTCTCATAGTTCTGATTGCATATGCAAGCTACTTTTTCTCCAACGGTGTTCACATGTCAGGTATGTACCATTCCCCAACTCTGTGTCTCTTGCAGAACGCTGAAACATTCGTTTACCAGGCATTGTGTCGCTCTTATTCTGCGGAATCACCCTGAAACATTACGCATACTACAACATGTCCCGAAGAACTCAACTTACCACGAAATTCTTCTTTCAGATCACTGCTCAGCTGTCGGAGAACTTCATTTTCATATATCTGGGACTCACGCTATTTACCGAGACCGATCTAGTTTTCAAACCACTGTTCATCCTCGTTACAGTCGTCGGCATCTGTGGCGCACGGTGGTTGGCTGTGTTCCCGCTTTCAAAAGCTATCAACTATATCATTCGACTTCGAGCTAAACGCCGTGGCCGCGACGTGGCGGAGGAACTTCCATGGCATTATCAAGTCATGTTGTTCTGGGCTGGCCTGCGGGGGGCCGTCGGTGTCGCCCTGGCCGCGGGACTACAGGGTAATGAGGGTCCCGCACTCCGCGCCACTGTCCTTGTCGTGGTGGTGTTGACGGTCATTATTTTCGGCGGCACAACGGCACGGATGCTGGAGATTCTGGGCATCCGCACAGGCGTGGTCGAGGAGATTGACTCGGACGACGAATTCGATATTGAGACGGCCAATGGCGGTACATACTACAAGCGATCCGGGACTGGTTTCGGCCACAACCCGCGACCCTCGGCGATCGGTCTTGACTACGTCGGCAACGGTCGTGAAACAAAAGCCAATGGCTCGGCGTCACACGCTCGAAACGACAGAGGGTACAGCAGTAGCAACGGCCGGTCTCCTCCACTTCATCCTGGAGGCCAGCGCAAAAACTCTGCCATCTCCCAACGTGATCGTGATCTCGTCGCCCAGCAAGGGAAATTACTGTCTGGCCACGGCAGCACCAGCGGGTCAACATCCGATGACGACGAAGATGCTGCTGCCGAGCTCGACCTACCACCCGCCGCACCACGAAGAAAACAGTCTCCTCTATCGCTCCCACCAGGAGCTCACGATACACGGGTACGGTCTGCGCCTGATATTATTCTCAACAACGGAGATGGTGATTCCCTAGGGGTTGACCAAGGAGACATGGGCACAGCTGCTACCCAACCTGAAAGAGCGTCGACGCCGCTAGTGGGAGCAAGTAGCTCGATAAGGAACCTATTGAGGGGGGCAACGGCGGACCACACTGCTTGGTTCCGCCAGTTGGATGAGGATTTTATCAAGCCACATCTGTTGTTGGACCAGCATCAGGGTCAGGGCAAGGGCCCACCTCCTTCATGAGCACAGCACAACACAATTTTCTATTCTGGAGGACGCCTTTCGAGGGTGCAGGAAATTAGGAGGGGCTTATTCGTTGCATTAGGGCGCCAGGTGCTTGTCAAAAGTGATTTCTGAGATGACATGATAGTGGATTAAAGGGATTTTTGACGATCATGGCCATGAGTACATATCTCAGGGACTGCGAGGAAATAGAATGGATGAGACTGTACCTTTCTCTAGAGACATGGAGATTATAGTATGAAATCCTTAAACTATCCCTATAACTTATCATAGTACCCTATATATCATTTAGACCATTCACGTGAGATATAATAAACTAGTCCCAATTAGGTTGGGCACACAGTGTTTTATTACAAGTACTAGTAGAATAATTAAGGAGTTTTGACACATAACACACCGATCATTGCTAAATGGAATTATTATAGCCCTATTGGATAATCTTTTGGGTCACCTTGTACTAGCACTAATAGTACTAATAGGGTATTTACACAGAATATTTACAGTCTACTTTTACTTCACTTTCACGGCTTTGCTCTTCAGATAGGCTGCAGTCACAACAATGGTTGAAACATGGTCCTGGGGCCTTGTCGCGTTATGTGCAGTTCTCAGGAGCTGGTCTGCGGATCCAAAGGCAACAAGGGGTGGAAAGGGTTTGAGCATGCTGGGCATCAGGTGACTAGTGAACATATCACCACAAGTAAAAGTAAAGGATCTGGACTGACCGTGTACAGTGCAGGTTCGTGGGAGGTATGAAGCGAATGTGTACAATACAGTGCATTCTCACTGGAGAGCCAATCCTGCTGTCACACATCTTTGCCTCTTTCATAAGTGTAAATGTGATCGTGATCGCGTCATGGCCATGTAGCCCGACATGGCCCTTCTCCCATGACTTAAACCTCGATGATATCGACGCTGGACCAATGATCAAGCAGAGAAGGAACTGATGTAGTACTGGCGTAGGGTCAGCATCTGGTTCGTAAGACAAATGACCCCAACTCACCGTGAGACAGGGATCTCCCTCGTCGCCGTTTTCGTCCGCCGGCAGGTACACATATAGAACCAAAGCCCCTTCATTGATGAAACATGCAATGACCTTGGTACAGACTCGACCGACACTGAGAACCCTGGACCAGTCCTTGGCATCGATCCGAACCCTGGACCACCCCGCCTCATTCTCCCCGTTCGGGCCACCGAGCTCCTTCATTCTGGTCGTGGGGTGATCTGTCAAGTCTGGAAAATGTTCCGGATCAAGCTGGGGATGGGCCAGTCCCGTCCATCGACTTGAGATGCTGAGAGCGTCGGTTTTGATCGAGACCTTGAGCGAGCCATGCATGTTGGCACTGAGTTCCAGCCGAGGACTGGTGCCCGCAGACCCCTTGGTTGTGGCGAGTGCCAATCGTGTGAAACGTTCGGAGATTGTCTTGATCTGAACCAGAGGAGGAAGATAGATGTTCACGTCTGGTTCCGGCGTTCGGGGTTGATGGAGGCTCTCGACCACCGTCGGCGCCAGGACTTTGACAGGGATGTCTTGAGTGATGATCGTCTCTCGTTCACCGGAGCCACTACTATGGGGTTCGTGAAACGATAGATCATCGACCTCATCAGAGTCGAACTCTCCAGCACCGCCCTGGCCCCCGACTGTTGTAGGACGGGCCACGACATTGTTGCCGCTGCTAAAGGAGTTGGTCACAATCGTCAACGAAAGTATGGGGACGTTGTCCTTCTTGGTCAGCCTGATCTGTGTAGAAGTCGCCCCAAGCGCCGACCGGAGAGCTCGCGAAAGGGCTTGGATGGGGACTTC